CATATTTAAATAGTATGCATTTCCTCCATTCGTGTAATTAAACATCTGTAACCTCCTGAGCCCTAATGATTTGGAGGCCCGTGTTTGCTCTGTTCCTATTTTTTATTGTTTATGGACTTTTTATCTTAAATACTGTATTTTATTTCCATTTTCATTTAAATAATACAATTAAATGGTGTTATAAATGTTTTAAAGTGACTCAATAAGTTATACATAAAACATAATTTAAAGTGCATTCGAAAGAAAATACATGCAACAACAGTGTAACAAAGTGCGTTCTTATCGGTTTTTGAAGTCATGTTTTGTAACGATATTTGTACTTGCTTTGATGTGTAGGTGAAAGAATTTCCCTCGAGAAAAGGCTTAATTAAGGATATTTACGTGATTTACTAGAATTCTTGATTACAATTCAATATTTATTTACAATTTTGATGTAGCTTAAGTAACTTAAATTACCTATTTAAGAAATAAATACTGAATAAATTTTTTTTTACAAATGAATAAATGAAAAAAGATATATAATAGATTAATAAAACGGAACATCAATTTTAAATTCTGAAGAAATATAATATATTTTATCTTGTTTGTTTGAGTGCAAATCTCTTCTTTTCTGTATTTGCTTACAATTATGAAATTTAAAAGAGAACATTGCGACTTTTATTGTCATTTATATACAAACAATTGAACGTGGTGTCTGTTATTTTTATAGCCCATTCATTGGTTATTTCAACAAAATAGTTCCTAGAATTCTTGGATGAATACATGTATATACTGTCATAGTGTACGTGGTCCAATGAATAGCATGCTTCTATCATGTATTAACAAAATTTGTTATTGTGAATAATTGGATTAGATATTTGGGAATTCATAAATATTTCCTGAGATGTTGATTTTGTTTTCTAAAAAAAGAATGTGTATCTATGGATATAATCTTTATTGTTTTTTAAAACATTAGCTGAACTGAACTTTTGCTAATTTGCATTTTGTTAACTCTGGCAAATATTAGCATATATTACCAGTGGGAGGTTAATTTTGATAACATCCATAAATCATTTTATCTTTTTCAACAACATGTGCTATTTTAACAATATGACTATTTCAATAATAAATCACATGCCACATTTTAATAAATTTTTCAACGACTTATTTACCTTTTCAAGTATTTTTAAGCCCAAGGATAAAATATGTTGAGAAAATTAACACATATGTAGTAGCTTATGACCGCCAAAGAAGTCATTACACTTCTGTTAATAAAAAAAAAATCACCTCAAGCTTTCTCTCCAAGCAAGATACTTTCTGTAGCCGCTCTGTCTTGTCACATGACGTTTCTTAAGCACTCGTAAATTAACTTGACACTTTGAGAAATATACTTATGACAGTTATGAGCAAACGATGAATATATTTTACGATTGTTGTAGCGTAAATTAATATCTACAATGGTAGGGCCAATATGGGTGGTATAAAAAATATACATAAACATCCAATCTTACAAGCATACTAATTCTACTCACAATTTAAAGTCACAACATAAAGTCATACAAATCGCTGCTTTTACGTCTCGTTGTAATATACAGGTGTGTAGTGTTCCTAGAAATTATTGAATTTTTTAAACGTCATTATCCAGAATAAGGAATCAATAATTATTATATGAAAAATAATGTTAGTAATTTGATTAAATAAAAGAACTCTTGCTTTCTTATTTTTATGAATAACCTCCATTGTATTGAACTATTTTGTGTTCTTCGTGGTGTGTGCTTTTGTTTCAAATAACTGCTTATGAAAGCAGAAAGCTCATATGAGATATGCATTAAAGAGGGAATGTAAAACCTTCAATATTTCAGAACCACTGGGGATTTTACTATCCTCATTGTATCATGTGATACATAATATAAAAAAGAGAAATATCCAGGTAATAGGTCATACATGTAATTTGGGTACTTGACTACAAAAAGACATTAAAGATAACCTAATAATAAACCTCTATAATAAACGTGATGGTATGAATTTTTCATCATAAGCTTCTCAAGAACGGTAAATAAGATATGCAATAGTATGCTCTAAATATAAACAATTTCTTAAACTAAGAGCTATTGAAAGAAGATGGGGGAACAAGGCGGGCAGAATGCCTATAGCGTCGGATATTAAGAAATCATATTCAGTATGTGAATTGAGTATTTAAATTAACTTCTCATTATTAAAATATATGAAATCATGAGGGGAAAAAAAATTTTGAGAAAAAAAATCTCGTAAGAAAATTTTCTTTTATAAAAATATAAGATTGTATTTGTGGGATTCGAACACTAGCAATAAAAATCCGACGTATCATACTGCTTAGAGACTACATGCCTCATGATGATTTTGGGCATTTAAATATTATGTTTGTTATATGACCCTTGACTTAATGGACTTGAAGTATTTTTCGGAAAGATGCGAATGTTTTGTCATAAAAGTGAACTTGTAAGGTATAGTGAGTCTTCGCTCCATGTTTTTTGTACACCATAAAATGTACATTTTATTGCAAACTTTTAGGATTATCTTTCTAAAAATGGAGGGAAGACCCACTCATATTGAAAAAATTTGTTAAACTATGAGAAAATGATCGTTTTTGTTCTTTTAAGTGTGTGTATGCTTTTTCATAGGCAGATATTTTCAGTCTTGGTGAGATTTTTGTAAATTGTAGAGATTCTACATTAAGTATACTTTAATATTAGATTTGGATATAATTGAGATTAAATTTTTCATTTCCTATCTGTCGCACTATAGGCACTTCGTTCGCCTTATCAACCCATCTTCTTTGAAAAAACTAAGTTGATAAAACAATAATATCAAAGGTTTCTTTTAAAGTCGTAATTTCGCAAGTTCTAAAGTTGATACAATGACATTGTTACTATAAACAATTTATCAATGTCGAAGGTTGACTGAATTTTTAAATACTAATTGTAAGGCCATTATTTACACACTGAATTGTCGTTTTCTATTCCCCCATCATGACAGTAGCACACAACGGATGTGACCGATCGTCAGGGGATGCTTACTCTTCTATGACTCGTGATTCAATCTTTGATGTTTTAGACGTCCGTATTAGCTCTGCTCTTTATTTAAGGAATGATTTTAATAGCTACCCATTTTATACGGTATAAACTGGGTTGGGCAGTTTACGCTTTATAAACCGCGAAGCGGTTTATAAAAAAGCGTAAACTGTTCCAACCCAGTTTATACCGTATAAAATGGGTAGCTATTAAATTCATTGCTTATAATTTAATTTTCATTCATTTGATGTAAGAAAAAAAGATGATTGTTCAAACAAAATGACTTAAATTTGTACAAAATTTGAATATAACGTCAGGCGGATTTATACGTTTTTGACGTAAGTCATTATGACGTAGGCAACCCATTTTATACGATATGAAGTAAATTTTTTATCCAATCAAATACAGCGTTACAACCAGAATTAAATTATTTGTGTTTTTAAGGGATTTTTGAGCATGACTTCTGTTTGTTATCTTTATATTCCATTTGATGATACAAGTCCCGGGATCACGAAACAGACTAAGACTGAAGTGAAACTATTAGTTGCCTGTAAAATGTTTATTGAATTGATCTCTTAATTTGCAGATAACACTTTTTGTGACGCAATATTGAAAATTATTTTTATTTTCGTCTTCCTAGCTTATACAATATTTTAAAATAATAAAATGAACAAAAAGAATAAAAAGAGAAAAAATAAAAATAAAAAGAAAAGTTTTTTTAAGACAATGGCACGTAGCATAAGACATTAGCAACTTATGTCCCTTACAGTGATATCAACTTACAAATATTTTACTTATTTAGAATATATTTAAAATGTAGACCCTATCAATAATTGATTTCAATAATTTCTGAGAACACCTCATCAATGAAATGAACCGCCCAGTCAGAAGAGGCAAACATATTTTTTCTCTTTACACAAAATTGTTATTGAAAAAAATATTTTCTATTTGTCTTCAAATTTGAATATAAAAAATAGGTTATTTTTTTAATAAAGTATATAATTTTATTTACAAATACGCCTGCATCTCAAGAAAGATATCTTTTCAGTTCTTATTTAAAACTTTAGGAGATCACTATATGCCAATCGAAATTCTGCCGAAAATAAGCAAACGTGTGGAATTAATTAAAACTGTTACTTTATAAGGAAAGGTTATTCAACTTGTATGAAAATTTTATGAAAGAATATGCTAGTGATGCAATTTTTAATAAGCACTCATGCCATAAACTGTAAAAAATGTCAATTATTTTTCGTATCTGTTTATAGTTCATACTTTATTTAAATAAATGTATAGCTAATTTAAAGTTAAAAAATATAATAGATAATTACGTTTTATAGGTAAGCATTTTTCATGTACATTTGAATTAGGTAAGTTAAAAAGTCTCTGTACTATAACTTTTTTGCACATCTACGTAAATTATATAAAGAATTACAGCATGTTTACATTAATTTTATTTTCAAGAATTACCGAGATGTATTAGGTCAAATGTATATCTGTGTGTGAAAATATTACAAGGTTAATGAAAAGAGGTTCTGTACATGTTAACTAATATTCAGTGGTGGTAAGCATACTGATAAATATATATGGAGAATTTCAATCTATTTTGTTGTTTTTTTTTTAAATCTTACTAGTTATCATAATTAACGTCGTATCAGAATAAGAAAGAAACAAGGCAATTTGTTTACTTTAAACAATGAATAATGTATCTTTAAGTTTATCATTATTTGCAATACTCGATGGTTCGAAATATTATATTTAATTAATCATCATTTGTTCTATGTACTGTACTTGAAAACTAAAGAGCCTACTTCTTCCAAAGAACTCTCTAAATATGCAAAATTCAAGGACTATATATATTTGTATCAAATCATTAAATCTGTTCCTCGGGATAAGTCGTTGAAATTATTTTACAAATTTGCATTTAAACTGCTAAAATGGTGAAAGGATTTCATTTTTTCTTTTTATTTACAGACATGGCCTTTTACGTTTAGCAACAAAGGAAGTGGGTCGGGTTCGGAAAGCAAATCACCAGAACCAATGAAACTTGACGTTGACGGTGAACATTTGATGACTGCAAATGGCGATGTTTGACGTCATTATTTTTTCAGTATACCCCCTGAGGAAATCCATAAATGTTGTCAATATTGTGTAACGTTGATATTTAATTCAATTTTGTCCAACCACAAAATGTTAAATTATCCGGTGACTAAATAGTGTTTGAAGGTCTTATTTTGTAAGGTATTGATAAAATGTATCTTTTTTAAAGATTTAAATATAGGCTAGTCACTTGTATATCTGATGATACATTTCTAGACAGTTACATAATTCATTGTTCATCTGTTTCTTGTAAAGTGTGTTTTCCCTGAACCGATGCAGCTGGAAATCAATGCAATTGTCTCTTAAACAAAAGCTTTAAGAAAATCAAAGAATTGCTATTTAAAACTTTTAAAAATAACAATTTGATCATAAAAATCTATTTTAAAAAATAATTTCCTCTATTGAACTATTACTTAGTACTCGTATATCATACTGATATTTTAAAGTTTTTATAAAAATAATTTGTTACACTTAGACTTTGCATTTCAGGATTTTTAAAATCAATTGATTCTCTGTCATGTCGATGTTTATCTTTCTTACTTATTACTTAAGATTCATCATCATCTTTCATTACTATTTTTATAAGGTGAGCTCTTCAAATTCTGATGGAGCGAGGAAATAAATGATTTAATAACGAATCACCTGTTATGTTTTGCTGTGAATAGATGTAGACCTTTTTATGGAATCTGTATTATACAAGACCTTATACTTATTTACATGATAAACTGGAGAATGCACAATTTAGCTTCTATGTTCTTACAGAAATTCATGGAGGTATCTGTATGTATAGATCAAAGATGATATGATGTGAGTTCTCGCATTTCTTAATCCTTTAATACTGCAAAACTCCTTCTCTCAAACATTCTAAGAAACTGGAAGCTTATCTTTGACTTGCAGGTAAACAAGACAGAAAATGTAATCATTTACTAATTATTTATTGAGGAACTATCCTCGAATGTCTCAAAGTATAAGATAAAATACTCAAAATGAGGAAGGAACGATAGTGAATGTAGTGCTATTTCAGCACCATGTGTTGGACTTCTTTCGGCACCTCTGAGGGTGAACACCTGTTGCAACATCTGCTATGAAGATACGTGAGAAGTATCGAAGGGTCGTTGGTCTGAAATATACTAGTTATTTATAAAGCTCCTTTTCAGCAGGTTTAAATACACTTTGATAAACTAGTATTTTATACCTCAGAGGTGTAAATAACACTTAAAACTTATACTTTTATGGTATTTTTATCCAGATAAAGTTATCTGCCCTTAGATCTAAACATATTTGAAAGACTAAGTTTATTACTTAATCTATAATCATTACAAGCATCCCAAACATATTCGAATGTATTTTTCCCATTTCAGTACACAACACAGATTTTTATTCACCAACCCTTTACTGTCTCTGTACGGATTTTCTCGGGGTAAATGACAGGTACCTTATTTTGAAAATTAAATAGATTTCATATCTTCATTTTTCTATGATATACGTTTATTTCATTTGCAATTCACTCAGAGTATAAAAACAGTCTTCTTTGGTGTATATCTAGAGAGTCCAAAACAATTCTTTCAAATTAAAAATTACTTGATCGAACATTATGTAGATGGCAAAAAAGTAAGTGAAAAGAGAAATGCCTTTTTTTATATGTACAAGGCAAAACAAGTCATCTTTGTAGAAATTCTCTAACTAAACATGAAGTCAGGTTTGAAATCGAGCGAAAGGGCTTATCCTTACTAATATGATCGAATGTTTTTCCATAAACCATTTGACTAGGAATGACATTAATAAAATTTGCAGCAAAGTGCATGGAGAAGTCGTAATTACAAATTCAGGTACAAGTAATCTGTTCAATAATTTTATTGTGAATGACATTTAAGGGACCTTGGGATGTATGTACCTATATATCAAAGGATAAATATAAAGCGGTGAAGGAGAAAGTTCAACAGTGCTGTGTAGAAATTTATTCGAAAAGTAGTGGTACTCAAATGTGAATTCTGAAATACTCCAAAAACATTAAATCGTACGATTTCTAATCTTTGCACTTTATGCAAACACCAGACAACTGCACCTCTAATAGAAACAGAACTGGTAAATTTTCAAATATCTTTCATTGATCATCTAAAAACGCAATTAATTTTAATCATCGTGATTCTTCATACAAGTTCTCTCAGGCTGAAATTTAAAAGATGCTCTAGTTTCATATTGACATCCCTTTGGAGTACAAGGTCTTCCAACAATTTGTGAAAATTCAGTGGATATTAATTGTGCCTAATTATTAACATATCTGTAATTGTCCTCTTCTGAAGCAGAATTTATTTTAAAACTTCTAGGAGAAGAAATCCCTCTTGTTTAGGCCTTCAATTCAAATGTAGGGATTTAATGAAATTGAATACATAACAGAAGTGTAGGTGTTGTATACTCATTATAGTTAAATATATAATTCAACAGAAGCCCGTAATATATATAAAAAACTAAGTATATAAAAAACCAAATGAATATATAAAAACTCACCTGAGCAATATGGTAGGAAAAAAGCATAAATATATATATAAAAAGTTGAAACCCAATAATGGTATATATCCTTAAAAGGGAGAGGGTATATATATAAACTTGAATCTACACTAACTAAGAATGCTTGCATATTTCTTTAACTACATTTGGCTTTATTGCCCTTTACATTTGAACTTACATTGTCACCCCGCATATAATGAAAGGTGTCATGACTTGAACAAAATTGAATCTACACTACCTGAGAATGCTTCGATATGAATAGGACTGATCATGGCTTTGCTATTTTTGAAAAGAAGATTTTTATATAGATTTTTTCTAAATGTTTCTATGTAAAACTTGGATTCCATGTTTTGGCCCCACCCTACCCCCAGGGGTCATGATTTGAACAAACTTGAATGTCCACTACCTGAGGATGCTTCCACAAAAATATGATCATTCATGCCTTTGCTATTCCAGAGAATAAAATTTGGATTTTCCTATATATTTCTTTGTGAAACTTTGATAGGCCATTGTGGCCCCGCCTTACCCCGGGGGTCATGATTTGAACAAAATTGAATCTCCACTACCTGAAGATGCTTCCATAAAAATATGATTATTCATGCTTTTGCTATTCCAGAGAAGAGGATTTTTTAAAGAATTTTCCTTTACATTTCTATGTGAAACTGTGATAGGCCATTGTGGCCCAACCCTACCCCCAGGGGTAATGATTTGAACAAACCTGAATCTACACTACCTGAGGATGCTTCCCTATAAGTTTCAACTTTCCTGGCACAGTGGTTCTTGAGAAGAAGATTTTTAAAGAATTCTCCTATGTATTTCTATGTTAAACTTTGATCGGCCATTGTGGCTCCGCCCTACCCCCAGGGGTCATGATTTGAACAAACTTGAATCTACACTACCTGAGGATGCTTCCCTATAAGTTTCATCTTTCCTGGCACAGTGGTTCTTTAGAAGAAGATTTTTACAGAATTTTCCTATATATTTTTATGTTAAACTTTGATAGGCCATTGTGGCCCTGCCCTACCCCCGGGGTCATGATATGAACAAACTTGAATCTACACTACCTGAGGATGCTTCCCTATAACTTTCATCTTACCCGGCACAGTGGTTCTTGAGAAGAAGATTTTTAAAGAATTTTCCTATATATTTCTCTGTAAAACTTTGATCGGCCATTGTGGCCCCGCCCTACCACGGGGGTCATGATTTGAACAAACTTGAATCTACACTACCTGAGGATGCTTCCCTATAACTTTCATCTTTCCCGGCACAGTGGTTCTTGAGAAGAAGATTTTTACAGAATTTTCCTATATACTTCTATGTAAAACTTTGATTTATTGTGGCCTCGCCCTAACCCCGGGGGTATACATTTGAACAAACTTTTTATATATATATAGTATGCTTCCCTATAAGTTTCATCTTTCCTGGCACAGTGGTTCTTGAGAAGAAGATTTTTAAAACATACCATAAAATTTTCACTATTTCTCAATTATCTCCCCTTGAATAAGGGTGTGGCCCTTCATTTGAACAAACTTGCACCCCCTTTACCTAAAGATACTTTGTGCCAAGTTTGGTTGAAATTGGTCCAGTGGTTCTTAAGAAGAAGTCAAAAATGTGAAAAGCTAACGACAACAACGACGACGACAACAACGACGACGACAGACAACGGACAAATTTTGATCAGAAAAGCTCACTTGAGCCTTCGGCTTCTTTGTTAATTATAACTGTATATATAGAAGGATTCACTTAAATAAATAAAAACAATCAAATATATATAAAGATTAAAAAGCTTTTATATAAAAATAATTCCATATATATGTAAGGAAACAATATGTTTATATGTAAACAGAAACTCGAAATATAAAAGCAAAAGTGGCATATATATAAACCCAAAAATTTCCACGACGCAACCTTTATCCTGTATGCTGATAAGAACACAAATCCTTTCTCCTCATCTGCATAAAGCCCCGCCCCATTGTCCAGCACCATCACATGTTTCGTTTCCGGTGTAACGACGAAAAGTGACTCCCGTAGAATAGGGGGTCATTTTTCCTTAGAAAAATGACCCAGGGTCTGTACACAAGTAGGGTCATTTTTCGACTGTAGTCATTCAGAAAATATGTAATTCTATGACTCCACACACGTTGAAAAATGACCCCCATAGAATTTTGACCCCCTACTTTTTTATACAATAAAACCTTATATGTGTGACTCCTGATATTTTTTCATACTATCAAATGCAATTAGGGGGAATTTTTATGTACTTTAATCCTTTCCAACATATGTTTGATTGCATATCTTAATTGTAGCATCACTATCATTGTATCTGGAATGGATTTATTTTTGGCTTGCAGAATTCCAATGAATATTTATTCATTAAGGAGCATAAATTTATTATTATATTTCTGGGTGGTTTTTTTATCATTCAAAGGTTTTGTTCGAAAATGGCATGATATGTTTCTGATAGCTATAAACTTTGATTTTTTTGTTTTTACAAATCCAAAAACATGGCATAGAAGCAAGAAAAGCGATGTTATTTAACTATACAAATTCAATTCCCTTAGCTCTTACATTTAAACTTACATATACATCTGTTTAAACGAATTTGATTTGTTATAAAAAAAGTTTCAATATCAAAGTCCATAAAACAATACAAAATTGTTATAACAAATACAGACCTCCAAAACATTAGAGACGTGATCAGGTGCCATTGAGGAGTGAGCATCCCCTGCTGACCAGTCACACCCGCCGTGTGTTCCTTGTCATGACCGAGAAATAACGGAAAATTCGTCTTCAATTCAATGTAAAAATAATGGACTAACAATCAGCACGAATAAAGTCAGTCAGCATTTGACTTCGTGCATGATAAATTTGCTGACAAGGTCATTGTATCGACCATAGAACTTACGAAATGATGACTTTAAACGAATATTTTTGTTTCATCAACTTGCTTGTCTACGGCATAGCTTAGTAAAAAATCAAAACAAAAAAAAAAGAGGTCTGTATGCTTCTTTTAGTATTACGGAGCAATTAATATGACCTCTTTGCACTGTAATTATGTCTAACACATTATTCAATTTTTCAAAGTTGTCTTTCATATTTTTTATCCAAATTAATTATTGGACCAAACACAGTC